GGCCCTGGGTGCAGGTGCCTGGGGCTGGGACAGCCCGGCCCGCTGGAGCCCCGTGGGGGCTCAAGGGACCGATCGGCTGCTCTCGGTATAAGTGGCTGCGGTTTGGCAGTGGTGTCCGTTCTCCTCCTCAGCCTCGGGTGGGTTCATGGTGGGCCGAGGTCTCTGTCAGATCTTTGCCTCGCAGCTCCCTGCCTCTGGAAGTTTGGGCTAGTTTCGAAATGGGTGAGGAAAGCCTTGTGCTAAATCTGATCTTGGGTTGTGCAGACGAGCTGAGGCTGATAACCACTTGAGGTAGATCAGGGTGGAGTGTGAACGGAGAATGTGGAATTTAGATAAATGCTCGTGAAATTAATATCTTATACGAACTTCAGCAAATTAGCTGTTTTTCTTTCTTGCTCTGCCCACAGTTCAGAGGTGGATCCTCAGGCTATACATTCTATGCCCTGCTTTCTCTGCCAAGCATCACCAGTATTTTAGATGCTGCTCCATTAATAGGCTAATTCACTGAGGAGTACATTAGTGCTAAGTCCTGTTGAATATATGCCTGCAACATGCCCCTTGAAATCTCTCAACACTCTGTGTTTATTGATTCGTGAAATTTAAGTCTTTTGTAAGGTGGATGAATTAGTTTTCTTTTTTTTTTTTTTTTAATAATGCTGAGACTGTAATATACTAATTGCTGTCTCTATATATTTACTGGACAATATACTTGTCTACAGAGTTACCCATTATATGTTACTTTAGCTGTGTTGAATACATTGTATCAGTAGTGGACCGGAAAGGTATGTTTGCCACACTGAGTTGTCAGCAGTAAGATGGAAGTTGTAGGTAAATTGTGTATTGAAGGACAAGGGAACAAACCGAGGTGGTACTGTCTATGGTGGGAGTGGAAAATCTAATGAGTAACTTTTTTATTACATATTTTGACAATTTTACTGTAAGACTGATTTAGGTGTCGTCTTTCAAAAGAGTCCAAATGTAGTTGTGTGGAGGTGTGCTACAGTTGTGTCAAAGGTGGCAATGGCGTAGCGTAGGTACAGTCTTTTAGTTTGTCCCTTATTTCATGTTCTGCCTATGATCAAACAAGCCTTGTGGTTCTTGGCTAGTCAGTTGTGCACCTGTTCTAAAGTGTGAGGATTACAGGTTTTCATTATAATACACAAATGATGGAGTTGCTGAGGGACAGGTGGATCTACTCAGTTCTTGTTCATTCAGACATTTTAAATAATAGTTACAGTAACTGGTGTGATAGAGAATTGGTATGTGTGACTGTATTTTCTTTCCCCATTTCTCACAACACAAAACCCCTGACTCATTTCAGTCTAACTTACTTATCTGTCCTACAGACTCATTGACATTAACTGACTTATTCTGTTCTCTGTGTGTCTATGTATATATAAGTACAGATACAGGTCCTCTGGACAGTGGAAAGGTTTTGCTGTTGTTGTGTTTGGAAATTAGTAGCAGGAAGTATATCAGACCTTATAGCTGTCTTCTAGATGTTTTGTTTTCGGCCTGCTCTTAGGCCTTCAAGCTGCCTCTTCCTCCTTGATGGTTTTTTTCTGCTTCTTTCAAGGCAGTTTCTTCACAGTGCAGAGGTGTTCTGTACCTGAACTTTTTATTTCCTGGTGTCAGTGGTCTACACATGTGTTAAATTGAGGGTTTCCTTCCAAAACTTGGGGTTTATGTTGTACAGGAGCAAAGGGCTGAGTTGTAGAGACCATGAATGATGTGGAGGCTGTGACTTTTTCAAATTATGGCATGTGAGAAGAAACTAATATTGTGTGAGAAGGCCAAGAATTTCTACTTTCCAGCACATTTGTGAGCAGATTCAAAGCCTCTGGAACATGATGAAGAACTTGGTAGTTTGTGGGTTATTAAATTAATAATTGTCACTGTGTGAAAAGTTTGATTTGATTTCCTCAAAGTGAGACTGAATACAAAAGCTAAAAGAAATGTCAAATGTTTAGGAACTCTATCAGCATGATTATTTCTGATTTAACTCACAACTGTTTGAACAAATATGGTAGTAGAATCTGGAAGATTAATGTTAAAAGGCTGGAAGATTAATCTAAAAAGGCTGTTGAGTTTTTTGTTTGTTTTCCAGGAAAATACTTTGTGAGTGCTTGTCTCAAATGACCTGAGATTTGAAGTTCTGCCTGTGTGGCATCCCAAATTTTATGGCAGTAAGAGGAATATGTGAGGTTTAGAGTAATTGAAATACATGACAATAAATAGAAATAGGTGCTCCTTCTTAAGTAAAACTGAGTTTTATCTCAGCTGTAGTTGAAGTATTTATTACAAACTTACATATTAAGTTTTAGAGTATCAATCTTTTTTGTCAATATTTGTATCTGTGTTTTTATGTTTATCTATTTTTATTAATTTCACTGCTAGGTATAAAATAAAATAAAAAAAATTGCCATATGGAATTGATGCAGGGTTCTACCACTGGAGCAGGTAGATAGCAGAATGTGGTACTGTGTGACAACTTGTGGTGATTGTCATGTTCATGTGGACAACAGTGAGCTTCGTTTTCTGACCATTGTGTTCAACTTAGTATTCAGTTCTAATTTGCCTTCAGCTGTCAAACTGTGGTTGCCAGGAATTTGCTGTTGTCAGATGTGCAACTGACACCAAAATAAATTTTTAAAAATTATTTATTTATTTATTTGATCTGTGGTACAAGGGAATTTTCTAGTGAATTTCTTAAAATGTATGGTCACAGAGAAGAAGAATGGGGGAATTCTGATACCTTTCCTTCCCCTTTAAATACTATGATTTGCATGTTCTTTTATTTCTTCCTTACTCCTACCCATTCTGCCCTAGTTAATTCTAAACTTTCACAGTCATTTCTTATCTCATCTCTCATCCTGGTAACATATTTCAACTAGTAATGAGTCTCACACTATTGTGCCTTTAATTCCTAACTCCTCATCCTAAATTTTGTCTATCTTTCTCCTTACTTTTTTTTAGTTTATTTCCATAACTTATTTTCAAACATTTTATTTGCATTGAGCTTAGTAATGAAGTTTTATGGAGCAAAAGGCACTGATATGTTTCAAACACTTGGATATTTTCATTTTCCATTTTCATTTGAAAAATTAAATGTAGAAAAAAGTCTTAATGTATGGGAAATAGTATGAAATTGTGAGCTCTTGCAGACATTTACAGCTGTAGTTCATAAAGGTTTGTGTCTCAGGCATGTGTGTATCTGTTTTGTTGTACTTTCATTTCTTGAGGGGAAAAAAAAAATGTAGAGGCAGGTTCTGCCTTGGAACTGCTGTTAAAGAAAATGATTCTTGCAGCTGGCACAAGTCAGCTTTTAAATCGAGGCATTGCTACAGCGATACTTTAACAAATGCCTTGCTAGTTTTTGGATCTTGTTGAATTCACACCTGTGTAAATAGCTTCATCAGGCAAAACCAGTTCATTACATGGTGTCCGTCAGCCCCTGCTTGTTTTCAGCAAGCTACGTGTTCATTAGACAGGTTTGTTTTTGGTTTTTTCTATTAACATGCTTATTGCAGTAGATTAAATGAGCCTTGTACTTTTACTCAACAACAGCAATGAGATGACACTGACATTAACAATAAAAAAATATTTTTTTAAATTAAAAAAGAAAGCATTAATGCAGGGTTAGAAGGATCTTCGAATGCTGATACTAGAAAATAAACTATCTCTTCCACCAGTAGATCAGCGTGTATGAAATACAAAATTGCTTCCACTGGGTGGCATTGCAAAACAAGGCATGACATGCAAGCATATATTTGATGCCACAAAATATGCTGATATAATTACTTTGCATCTTTGGCTGTACTGTAAAGTTGCTTTGGTGTATTCAGTAAAACATCTAAAGATGGAGGGCCTGTGGTGGGGGATGTGTCTGATGGCAAATGTAAGACTTTTCTATTCATTTAAAGTATAAGTTTGTTGATAGCATTCTTCATTCAGAGATTTTTTTTTTTTTTTTGCAGTGCAGAGCAATAATGATTATAATATCCAGTTAGGGACTTGATTATAGCTGTTAGGTTAGGGATATGTTACTACTTCTGTTGATTGTTTTGAATTGTTTTGTATTTAGTGCTTTTGCTTTTAAGTAAAGGCATTGTGAGTGAAAATCTTTGCTTAATTATCTTTGAACTATTTTGAATCAAATGACTTTTTAAAGCATGGAACTGGAGATAAC